TGTATTGTTGCAGGGAGTTAGGCTTCTGCTTTTCAGCAGGTAGAAGAAAATGTCTGGTTCTGTTAACAAGCCTTGCTAATGAATTATTATATACTTCTCAGCAAGGGGCTTTATCTCTGCAGTTCCACACACATATTCCCAGTGAGGTTTTGAATTTCTAGAGGAGTTTTTTGTTATCTGCCTCCATAGAATGGTAGTGTATAGTGGAAATACAAAATCAAGAAGGCTTATGTAATAAATGGTCAAAGCAATTACACATATCAGCTTCTTTCCAATTTATCTTAAATGTAGTGTCTTTCTATACACTATGTATGGACTAATGCTGCTGGCAGAAAGGTGTTAAATTGTGCTTTAGCAAAACTTTTGTGGATGAGTTCCTCACTAAGTTAAGAACTGTCCAGTTCAAGAATGTTAGTGGACAATTTCTTTACAGCAGAATTAGCAGGCAATTAATGGTATGTATTGCATTTCTGATGCTCACTTAGAGTTCCAAGATTGGACTTTGAGGTTCTTTTACTGCTTTTTAGCAGTTACTTTTGGACACTTATTTCTATTATAGAAATAGATATGTCTAAGTTACTGGAATTGAAATGATACAGATATGACCAAAAATAGTTTTAAGCTAACCTCTGAAATTGAATTTTTTGAAATAGTTTTTTTGTTTTACAGTATGTTTCTGATATTTCTTAAGCTGTACAGCTGTACAGTAGTACAGAACTGCCTGAAACAAACATTGCTGCTGTGCGTGACCATGCAACACTAGAGAGCAGGGAAAGGAAGTCATTTAATTTATAATTTCTGTTCTGTTAACAGTGGATTTTTGGCATGTTATTTAGTGAGCAGCAACTCTTTAAAGGCTCCAGGCATAGACCAGATAGTATAGAAATGACACTTAAAAAAAAAAAAAAATATCAGGCTTTTTGCATACATTTTTTTCCTCCTCTCAATTCAGTGTGTGTATGTTTGCAGTTGGATATTGAAAAACCAATGGTGAAGCTGTTAGCAAATCTGTTTGGTTTAGCTAGAAGCAGGTGCACTATGAAGGATCAGAACTTCAATTAACATCATGTGGACAGAAACTCACACTGAGGATGTGTATTCTGAGATTGACAAATAAATTCATGGTCATATTTCCTTGGACTTCTCCAGTGTTCTTTTTAACATAATTTTCCATCTATTGTTGCAGATTATACCATCTGAAGTCTTCATGTTTAGAAACTCCGCAGCTGATTAGTGGAGTTTGCTGTACCTTCATAATGTAACTCCTACTTTTAAAAAGCTAAAATTGGTGAAATTATTACAAAAGTAACATTTAACTTAAAAGCATGCATGATTACCCCTTCTTAAAATTGGAGTGCGTAAATTCAGTTTCTTTCCCACTTAGGAGGTCTCTAAAGAGGACTACCTCAAATTACTTGAGACGCCACCTCACTTCATAGGATGCAACTTCCAGTGTGAGGCTTTCATGGAGAAGTAAAATTACGATTTGTAACAAAAGCATGCTTTACACAGAAGACAGAACTTTTTGCTAATTCAATTTCTATATGACATTATCAAAATACAGTACAAAAATACAAAGATATTTGAATGAGTGAGTCCCCAATACCATCAGAACAGAATAGCGTATCTGTTGCTTTGTTACACAATTCTAATGTTCTAGACTTCTTAAGAATATTTCATTAAAAAATCCTTCAGAGGTTCAGAAGCCAAGACACCTGAAAACAGACATTTAAATTCACTACTAGTGCTTGTACATAGAGAGGCTACCTACAATTTTTGAAAGCTGAGATGTCTAAAGTTAAGGTGATTTGAGATAGGATTAAACAGACACAGTGTTATATCTGAATTAAAATTCGGTGTCAGAGTGTATGCAGTAATAGTTGTTACTCGTCTCCAAGTGTGTTCCTCTTGTCTGTTGCTGTATTTGTAAACATGATCAGATGTGTCATCTCCACCCAACAGAAGTGTTGAGCTGAGACTTTAAACTGTAGACACTGTATGCCTACTCTGCATGTTTTTTGGCCTCATTGGCCTTTGTTTTCAATTGCATCTTGAATCTCATGGATTTAATGTTTTAATATTAATAGTTTTGAAAAGGATTTCTATTTATAGAACTTAATTTTTTTTATTATGCTTCAATTTTTTTTTTAATTTGGATTGAGTTTACTTGTATGGCACTATTTGTCACCTTTTAATCTGCCCTGTTAAATTAATGCTAAATAAATCTGACAGTCCTCTAAATGCAAAATAAACACAGTTTTGTAAGCATTGAACTGCAGCTTTAGTCTTTATTTTGAAGTGTTCAGGTGCTTCTACCCATGGTAGTGGAGAATTTAATGTACGAGAGTGTAATTTTCGTAATACTTTTGATGTAAGAATTGATCGCATCTTCCAAATGTAAAACAGAAAAACAGCAATATAAACACTTATTAGTAGTATAGCACAATTATTTATTATTAGTATAGTACTCAGATTTTATAAAATCTATCAGTGTTATATTATACCTGGTTTTCAAATAAGAAAATCTAAGTACTAGTGCAAAACAGGGATTCTTGAATGCCTGTTCAGTGTTGTTTTTTTTGCCCACCAAGTCACTTTATTTCCTTTCTCTACCACCAGTACTTAGCTAACCTGTCGGAAGTCATACGGTTTTGGTAGTCAGGAAAAAATCAAGATAACATCAGGTTCAGTCCACAAGTGTTATGCACAGACATCGTAGATACATTGCTCATGTCACAGCATTTAGAACCTTTGGTTGCTCTACTGATATTCCAAATTAGGTGTCAAGATAAGGATATGATTGTAATGGCCATATGCTATTTATAGACATTGCTCATTCAGCAGCCCAAGGTTTGCTGAATCTTCCCTCAGCCTTTCTTAGAGGTCTAGCTAAACGCTTTAGCTCCACTTCTGTAGTATTTTCCAGACCTCTTTAAATTAAGTTGAAAGCAATCAGTAGCATTTCATGGTATTTAATTCTTCACCTTGCTCTGCTGTTTTTTAAAAAGTCAAACTGGCAAAACACAAACCAACATTGCACATATATCTACAAAGATAAGAAATCTTTGGAGAGCCTCACTGAAATCACTGGGACCCCGCAAGAACTCATGAATTTGTTTCTGGATCCTGACACAAGGTTGAATTCTGAAAGTACACAGGTGTAAACATCAGTTAAGACAGTGCAAGATGCAAAGTGTTTTCTTGCAAATATGTGAAGCACTCAAAACGGTAAACTGTTATGATGAACAAGAAGATGATTAAATTCAGAGAAAAAGTTTGGGAAAGCCCTCAGAGAATAGAGAAGTATCTACTGGGAGCAGTTCAAAAGATGCAATGAGTGTCTCTTGCAGGCAATGTTCAAATTACTCTGAATTTACTGGGGTATTTCAGTGAAAGAGGGCCTTCTGAAGTGAGCTTGGTGCCCTCGTATGTTTGCAAAAGTGCAGGAGGATTGATATAAAAGTGAAAGAATGATTTTTCTCGGCTTGTCTTCAAAGACATCCCAGTAAGAGCTGTTTCTGACTGGTAGAAAGCCATCACATAAGTGAGATACCTACTGGGTTTTGTGTGCTTTGTGTGAAGCTAGTTCAGGGAACAGTATAGATAATTTCTTGGCCCAAATCTTTCATTTATTGATGCTAGCCTGATAGCATGCCTTGGATTTGCCTTAGATTCTTACAAAAGAAATAGCAAGTCTTGGGGGGTCTTGGGTTCTCCTCTTTGCAGAATTTGAGAACTCTAGAAAAACTGACTTTGGACACTGAAGTCTGTAATGAGGCAGTGAAACTGAAACAATGTCACAAGGTGTTCACTTAAGGCACTTAAAAGCAGACTTGGCTGCCTATCATGAAAGTGTCACTGAACTTGGCAGTGAGAGGACTGCACATCTTAACAGTTGCTTATTCCTCTGATTTCTACTCCTAGTCTAGAAAGTAGACAAAAAGCACTTAGGTGAGCTAAAAGCGCGTAACTGTAGCTCAATGGCCATAGCAAAACACGGAAGGCACGACACAAACTTCTGTGATGAAATTCTGCCTGTTGTTGCAACAAATGTTGATGCATTTAAATATTTTCTTGCTTTTTATAGGTATATGCATATTTTCCAGTGAGAAAACCTTTTGTTTTCTGTAAGATGTTATTGTCCTGAGTGTTAATGCGTTTCCAGCTATTAAGATGTAATCATATACCTTAAGTATTTAACTATATGTTTGAAAATCTTTATGAGCAATCTCAATACTTGAGGAATACTTGGAATGAACTCATAGTAAATTGGCTTATTTTCTTCTAATTTACTAGAAGTGCTGATACGAGAGCTGTAATGTGGAAAGTATATTAATCCATGGAGATGCATCGCATATATGAAATCATTAAAAGACTTAGAGGTGGCTTAGGCTAACTCTTGTTAATTAGAATTACAGTAGAAAAATTATCACTATTTTTTGAGGTAATGCATTTGAAATAAATACAGCAACTTTAAAAACAAACTGCATTAATAAATTACATTAGATATTGCATAACCATGTATCTTTTCTAAAGGATTATTGTGTGTGAAAAAAGTGAACCAGAGGCCTAAGAGTAAAGTTTGTTTCTTTCAATTTATAAAAGCTGTCTAGAAATGTTTTCACTTGAGATCTTCTCTAAAAAATAAAGCCAGTGGTTCTTGACAGCAAATCCTGAAGCAACTAGCTTGATGCCATTCTGTGGAGACATGATTGCCCTTTGGCTGTACTATTTTTAATAAAGGCAACTGGGCTTTAAATAACTTTTAGATTTAGTGCATTTCAAAAATGGTTGTGAAACGATTATCTGATTTCTTTTTTGTTTTGTTTTGTTTCTTTGTAGAATGTGAAAAATGGAGGAACTGCAATTAATTTCAGTACTATAATATAAATCAAAATTATTTTTGGCAACAGGAGGTGGAAAACCCTTGCTCTTTACGGAGACATCGTATGTGAGAAATGCCTAAGGCTTTGTAAAACTGTTGCCCAATATACTGGAACATGGAGACACCGCTAGACCCCATGAAGGATGACTTGCCCTTAATGGCCAACACTAGCTACATGCTTGTAAAGCACTATGTATTGGACTTGGATGTGGATTTTAAAAGTAAAGTTATTGAAGGCGTCATAGTTTTATTCTTTGAAACCGGGAGCCAGTACAGGAAAACCAACAGTACTGGCAAAGGTGGCTGCCAGTTGCAGTCTGATGAAAGCTCTAAAATGATGGCATCTGAACCCTGCCACATTCCTGTGACAAATGTGAGTGCCTGTTCATCTAAAATGGTATATGATGATTTTTCTGTCTGTGGTAAAGGTGAAGAAGATACTTCTGATAAAAATGGTAACTATAGCAACGAGGAACAGGCTTCTGGGATTTCTAGTTCAAAGGACTGCTGTGACATAGAGAATCATGGGAACCAGGATTTTCTGCTGATATTGGACTGCTGTGATTTATCTGTGCTAAAGGTTGAGGAGGTGGATGTTGCTGCTGTGTCAGGCATTGAAAAATTCACAAGGTTATCCAAGCTAACTGGTGTTTCAAAGGAGCTGGAAAATCTCAGGAATCAGATTGTACATGAACTTGTGACTTTACCTGCAGATCGCTGGAAGGAACAGCTATACTATTTTACTCGCTGCAGCCAGGCACCTGGCTGTGGAGAGCTTCTGTTTACTACTGGCACTTGGAGCTTGGAGATAAGGAAATCAGGAATTCAGACTCCAACAGACTTTCCTCATGCAATAAGAATATGGTACAAAACCAAACCGGAGGGAAGATCTGTTACATGGACTACAGACCAGAGTGGCAGGTATGTAACTCTTAGCTGAAAGCTTTGCACACATGTATTTTAAACATAGGGGCAAGAATGTAGAATCATGTAATGCTGGGCAACTGTGAAGGTGATGAGCATTCCCTTCCATTGTTTTAATTTAATCCTTGGTTTGAATCCTATTGCTGTCCTGCAGGAGAACAGACAAACTCTCTGCTCAGGAAACCCCAATAGACTTGCAGACCTCAGGCCTGTCTTAAGTGATTGCATGCTCATTCTGTGTGGGAGTAAATAATTGTGTATTGGAATAAGTGTGTGCAGGGAATAAGGAGTTGTCACTTAGCGGAAGAGAAGATATGCATGACAGGTTATTTTCACTTTAATACTTTGTGTTCTTTTTCCTTCCTGGCGTACACAACTGATCATACAGCATAAAGATCAGTATATATAATACTTAATTGAATTGCTTCACAACTAGTCTCTTATCAATATTGTAATAAGTTTAGAGATGCAGTCTTTTCCTGTTTAGTCTCTCATAATCAACTTTTAAAATCTCCATCTATTATGTAAAGTACATTAATGATAGCAAATGAACTGCAAACTGAAACTGCAAGAAGAATTGGCATTTTATCTAGTGTTTGTGAAAGTACACAGTGCTGTACAGAAACCTTCAAGATAAGGTCTTTGTAAGAGGGAATCCAATTCACTTTTGACTTCTGCAACTGTAATTGTTTTACTGTAATGTTCAAAGCTGGTTTTTAATGGCTCTTAGTACTTTATGATGTCTAAAAAAGAGAAACAAAGTTGGAAGATGAGAAAGAAATTTGGTCTAATTGAATACTTGCTTTTCATTCCCAAACTAGACATAATGTGGTTACTTTTCATTTCAGTTATGCTAATAGAAATTAAGAGTCTCCTCACTGGCATCCATGTTAGGGAGGAAAATGAGGTCTTTCAATTGTATATCTGGTAGTTAGGTAATTCTAATGCTAAACCATGAGCAGTATCAAGTCCAGAATGTCTCAGTCCTGTTCATTACTTGTTCCTCTTCCTTCTCCTTGCTCACTTCCCATGGACTTATTTCTGGTATGAGCTTAGGAAATTTAACTCCATGTAGTATCTTTAGTTACAAAATTCTGAATTTTGACTGCATGCAGAGGTAGGGCAATTGCCTGTGATCACACAACTTGTTTGTGTTTACCTGCCTCTTACTAAAGTCTTTGAGACTAATGTTAACAACGCTCAGCTGGTATAGGATTCTTCCTCTGTGCATTGTCTGTGTGTTCTGAACATTTGAAGGTTTGTCTTAAGCATCCAAATCACTAATGTCTTTTTGTTTTGACTTTTTTTCCCTTTCATTATTCTTACTTTAGAGGCATTTCACGGCAGTTATACACAAACGCGTGGAATTTTATGAATCAATAATGAAGCAGGAGAAGATGGTTTGACATGGGTCAGGCAGTCCGTTGGTAGCAAATACTCTCAAGCTGGTTTATTTTCAGTGTTTTGTAGGGTATTGCAGAAGCTAATGCCTGCCAGAAAATAAGTTTTCACATCACAGTCATATAGAGTCTTTCTTGATGCATTTTAAAAATCAAATTCTGTATGTGATGAACCCATAGATACAGTGGTGAAGCTCTTGTACAAAATGCTGTCATATTTTTCCTTCCCTTTCTAAAAATAAAGCCCATTTATAATGTATGGGGGAAGTACTATTACATTATATTCTCATAGGGGAATTCTTTAAATTGTTCCAAATTAGGCATATGATGCTTTTTTTAGGCAGATGTCAAATCCTTTCCCAGAGGAGTCTGTAATCTATGGTTCTAACCCTGAAGAAAAGTGAAGCAAATAACAAAGTACAAGCATTGTGTGGCCACTTCCAATATGTTTCCTCTGATTTAACACTAGTACAATGTTCTGAAATTTAACCTGTGCACTATTTTGTAGAGACTTCCATTTTATTTGTTTTAAACAATGATGTAGTATAATACACAAAAAAATCAGTTAAAACAAAGCTTTGTGGGATGAGTTTAGGCAAGTTGAGATGTGTATGCAAACCTGATGTTAGCACAGCAGGACAGATTTCTGTTTTTAGTGGAGGAACTGAACACATGGAATTTCAGCATTTCTGTCTGTGGGCTTTTGATGCTAGAATATACATTAATGATGAATAAGGAAAGTTTTTTTGTAATAACATGCTTTTTGGGGCCTTTATGCAGAAGTTCTAAAAAGGGGCAAAATAGAGGAACAGAGTATGTGGGTATGCACATATATATACATACATGCATAAATACACGCACTTTTTTGTCTCTTCAACAATTATACTCACAAGGACTATATCAGTTCTTAAAATTGTCAGGTAGTTTTTAACAGTGATGAATAATATAATTATTAAAATTGAACAAAAGTGTTGATTATAATGTTTGTAATATACTTAAATGAACAGAAGAGCAGTTCTGTTTCAAAATTTTTCAATTGTTTACTAGCAAAATACAGAACTGGGTTTCAAGCTGCAATGGTAATGGTGAAATTGTAACAAAATTATACTTTTGTTTGAAGTATTCTTACTAATATTAAGTATTATAAAATTATTTAAAATAACTTATTTTAGACACTATAATAACCACTTTGTGGAGGGAATAAGGTGTATAAAACATGTTTCATTACTGGGAAGCAGATAACTTTTTGCCAGCCCGTCAAGATGTTTAAGCAATTTTGCCTAACACTGTTAGTAGTATGTAGCAGTGTTGAGTCAGCATGGCTACCAGCATATTTTGAATTAAAAGCTTTCTCATGATCATTGTTAATAATACTTATTCATTAAAATATCCTGGGATCCCATCTCTCTATTGTTTAAGAAAAGGATTAAACACGTTTGAGTTAAAATTATAGAGGTAATTTTCCTAGCAGACAACCTTGCAAATTCACCTCTAATGGGAGATTCCTCCCACCTTTTTTCTGCTCTACTTGATCCAATTCTAGTGCTGTCGTAAATTAGTTAATGGTTTTGTTGATATTAATGAGCGACTGGAATGGAACTCATTTCCTCATTGTGGGATTAGGAATGAAAGAATATCTTTGATATGAATAACATCAGTGAAAGACATTCCATGTCACTGAAACCTTTCGGTACTGGGTCCTAATCCTGTAAGCTACCTGTGCATTATTTACCTTGGCATACATGAATAGGCACATAAATCGGTCAGGCCCATGCATTTATTTTTTCAAGTTGAGCCCTAGATATCAGATATACAGAAAAGGAGAAATTCTGGGAATTAAAGGGGATGCGTTGAATTACTCTGAGTATATGATTTTCATGAGAATGCTATGGAAAAAGTGTATTTTTAGAAGTTATTAAAGGATTATTGAGCAGTTTTGGGGAAATGCTCTAGAAAGAGTTACCCTTGTGCTAATTTTTCAAAGTGGGGAATACTGGAAAATATTAAATGATCTCCTTTAAAAAAAGATTATGATATCTTGATATTTATTTGATGAATTTAAACGTCTTACCTTTTAAAAATATTTTGTACTAGTTTATTGTCTTTATAATATCTTATTATTAGATTAAAATAGCAATGTATTTTTAAAGAATTCAGGAAATATTTTTGCCTTTAGGAAAGCTATGAAGGTGAATACAGCAAGCATAAATGTACAGTTTCGTAGAAGTGGTGATGCTAGCATATGTTCTGTAATTAAATGCTTTTTTTCAGGGCCAGTGTTCAACTGTATCACAGACATCACTGAACTGCATGACTCTTCATTTGTTATAAATAATCTTGCATTTCTGTAACATGCAGCTGAAGCACCTGAGGTAGATAGTGATAAGGAGAATATCTAAAGAGGTTGTACCTAACATAACAATGAAACAGACCTTGGTTTCCTGTTTGAATAATTTGATGTTACTGATTATGATGAAACAGCAAATAACTAGTAGAAAAGTTATGCCAAACCTATTGTGATCTGTTTTAGGGACCTGTGTCAGGAGTCCAATTCTCGCTGAATCTCACTGGCATGGAGACTGGCACAATTCCTCATTATCGTTTGTCTGCAGATGAGAAAGAGAGATTTTACATTTTTTGAAACTGCTTGTTTCAAGTCTGCCTCTTCTTAAGACACATATGTTTTGAAATGCAAATCGTGGTTGAATAGAGTAATGGAAATTGTTCAGATGCATTGGTGTCAAAAGCTATTCATTAAGAGATAAGCTCTTAAAAAGTCATACTTTTCTTTGGCACTGTAGTCATTCAGACTGTGTTATGTAGTATGCTGCATACAATAAGAACTAAATAAAAACTGTATAAAGCTACGCATAGCAACATTGAAATTTTTCTTTTTTTACTGTTTTAACATTTAGTTCATAGTTCATATTCCCTTGTGAAAGAGACTGAAATTTTTATAAATGTGCTAAACTTGAAATGTTTTTCTAATTATTCAGGGTAATGGAAACATGCTAACGTGTTTCTTGAGTATTTAGCTAAAGCTTGAAGTTAATTCTTGAGCAGTGAGCTCTAGTTTCCAGGAAGTTACACATAGAAGTCCATGTTTATGAACTTTCTATAGATGGAAGTATAACCTAGAAAAAATGTTTTGTGTAGTTGTTAGCATCATGTTTCTAGTGTTGTTCATAATGACGATGTTTACTAAAAATCAAGAAGTGGAATTTAATACGTTTTAGCATATGCGATTTCCTTAAGTTTGAGAACAATTTGCAAGAATTATGAAATTGTTTTGTTTTATCTAGAGACTGCTGGAGAAGCAAAATGTCACCATTTCATATGTGAAGGATTGCTTTCCAAACATAAGTCTTCAAAGTTTTGATTTAAAATTGTTTAAGTCTATCATCTTTTATGTCCTACAGTGGTCAAATGACCATCTAAGGTTGCAAAATTGTTTTTTGTGTCCTTAGTGATTGGTACTTCAGAGTGAAGAACTGCACTTGGCTACAGTGAGCTAACAATTTGCCTGGGATATTGTCTGGGTATTGGTAGCAAGTCATTCCCTAATCATACTCACATATCTGGGCATTTTGGGCCATA